CTACACATAAAGCTGCATGCGTTTAGTCGTTTTTATCGACTTAAAATTAAACTAAATGACAATTAAAAATGGTGCCTTAGCTAAAATAAGTTTTATACATTTTATTTTACTTAATTTGATGTTTGTAGTGAAAGCGAGGCTGTGAGGGATAGACATAACGTTACGTCTCCTCGGTTGGTTCAGAGTTGGTTGTACTTTTATTTAAAGTTTTTAGGATTTTGCTCTGCTGACGAATCTGTCATGGCGCTGCTCTGAATATTTATATATTTTTGCTAACTTACTAAATCCATAGACAGTAAAAGAAAACTAAATCACACACGAAAGAGCACAACGGAACGAGGGTAAGTACATTTGCGTAACGTTACAAGGCTGTTGTAAAACTGGCGGGAATTTTCTGTGTGAACATTTTCTGCCCACATAAATACGCACATTATGCAAAACAATGAGTAAAAACTGGCCAATAATCGTTTACTGTCATAATAAATAAGAATTATTGAACTCTTGAGTCAATTATCATATTGCTATTGACGCCATTTATATAAAATAAGACATTTAAGCATTACCTCAGTAGTCTTGTTGTCGTTGAGGGCGAAGTAACCCAACCGTATTTCAGGCCGGTTGCTATAGCGACAGACCGTTCACCTGCCACGGGGCAGAGGCTGAGAGACGGTGAGAAAACATGGATGGCCAAGCTAATCGTCTTTTGGAGCTTTTGTTTTTTGGGTGGAGAGACTATTCTACTGTTATTTTCCTTAATTTTAACTTACTGCTACTTTATTGTTTAGATCCTATTTAACATGCACGTGCTTTTGCTAATTCAACTGCACAGTTGTTTGTCATTCCAATAAAGCACATTAAACTGAGAGAGGGGGGAAAAGGGATGATGATTGCGCTCATCATCAAAATTCATTTTTTCAGGAGGGAATGGAGGGATTTTATGATTTATTTGCCTAGATTTACATACACATTTGGCAGATGCTTATCCAAAGCCACATGCAGTGCATTCAAAGGCTACATTTGATCAGCATACATTTCCAATAGGCCTATTCTAGCTTGTTTTTGCCACTGAATGAAAAATAAAAAGGTAATTGTGACCTCTTTTTTTAATTGTAAGATATAAATTCATAATTCTGAAAAAAGTTCTTATCTCGCAACTTTATAACACACTTTGCGAGTTTACTGTATATCTCACGATTCTCCGAACAAAGTCTGCCTTTTTCCCCATTTCAGAATTGGACTTTAGGCCTATAACTCACAATTGTGAGTTTATATCTCACAATTCTGAGAAAATAAGTTAGAATTTCGAGATTTGAGATTTCGAGAAAAAGTCAGAATTGTGAGATAAAAAGTCACAATGATCAAAGTTGAGCTATAGGGTGGAAAAACGTCTTTTTCCACACTGAAAATTTCCTACTCACCACATCCCAAAGTCACCACAGCCAGCATATAGACGATAAAAGTGTCATATACTGTCCCAAACATTCAGATTTGTGTCAATCACTATGGGGTTTTCAGTGCCACATTATTAAACTTTTACTTCGGTTAAACATTTTATTAGCCTAAACAGCAGTGGATTTCGCTTTACTCTACATCCCAGTTAATCCCTGTAAGAGATATGGGGGTCTTTGTTATTATATATTGTAACCGAAGATATGTGTGTGTGTGAGAAGACATATAAAGTCTTGGTATTATAGATTGTAACCGAAGATGTGTGTGTGTCCCTGCTGTCAGAGTTTTTAGTCTCGGCCAGATGAATGAGTGTGTCGGGCTGCTGTACACTGTCTCATTTTAAAGGGATTTTAGATCAAGCTGCATAAATTAGTTTAAAGACACTGCCTGAGGCCAGAGAGAGAGAGAGAGAGAGAGAGAGAGAGAGAGAGAGAGAGAGAGAGAGAGAGAGAGGCACAGATGCGGTTTTGCTGCAGTTCTCTGACACTTTTCATGTATCTGTGGCCCTTCATACACACCCAAATCTCAATGACAAAAATGTAAGTCCGATTCATGAATTCACAAATCATTGTTTTTGACTCAAATCAATGAATTGGTTGATCTGATTCCTAAAATCAGTGTGAATGATTCCTTTAGGAATCAATCTGTTTTCAAACTCATTGACTTCTGTTTGCCGTTAACGGATCAGTAGATAAATGCTATCTGTAAAAAAATATTGTTGGTTTAACTTAAAAAAGTAAGTAACCTGGTTGCCTTAAAATTTTAAGTTGATTGAACTGGAAAAAGTGAGTTAATACAATGAAGGAGATTAATTTAATCATCAGAAACTCAAAATAATAAGTTATCTGAACTAAATAAATTATTTAAGTTGATTTAACAAAAGCAAAAAAATGTTGTACAAAAAAACAGTGTAGGTTATTATAACAATTTAATTTCGGTCTGCAGAGTGTGGCCTCATGGGAGACGGAGAATAAAATGTACTGCAAACAGACGCTGGTGGATCGAGACGGACCCGTTACATTCTGGAGTAGAGAGCTGCGCGGAGACGAACTGATCTTGGTGAGAGATACACAAACACACCATATCCCTGAACACACTGGACACTTGAATGGACTATAATTTCTCACAGCTTTGTCTACTATGTTGGACATGAAGGAAGACTGCAAAGGGAGAGATTGTTTCTGGTGTTCACTTCTCCAGACAGAAGGGGCTGGATAATGTTATGTTAATATGATTGAACAGAGAGAGCTCACTGACTGAGATCATATTTTATGACTTCAGACAGGAAACAGACTATGGATTTATTTTCAATATAGCTTAACATTAAGACAGCGAGAGAAAGAGAGAGAGAGAGAGAGAGAGAGAGAGAGAGAGAGAGAGAGAGAGAGAGAGAGAGAGAGATGGTGGGTGTGAGATGTTTAATGGAGTGAATCGATCAGGCTGTTTTCTCACTTCTGTCTCATGTGACACACACACACACACACACTCTGGGTGTCCTTTACAGAACGTTTTGTCCACCAAAGGGTTCAAACTATAGGGCCTAAAACAAATTTGTTTTTGTTTTTTCAAAGAATGGTCAGAAAAAGGTGCTTCAGAATTTTTTTTTTGTCTTCAGGGATAAAACAAAATTTCACTTAAGCGGTTTTATTTTCCATTAATTTTCTATGGAGTTTTTTTTATCCTTTTACCAAAAATCGATAAAATCATTTTAAAATGTATAAAACAAAACATGGGAAAAAACTCTTTTTAAAAAAATTATTCTTACAATATCTTTGGTTGCAGGGTTGAATGGTCACGCTCGAGAAATACAATGTTTAAAAAAATGATAAAAGTATGTTATTGTTTTACACTATATATATATATATATGAAGAGTTCAGATGCAAAAGCCTCTAAATGCCATTTGAAATGTTCTTCATTAATGATGATTTTTTATCAAACTTGTATATTTAAGTTCAGTAATTTCACTTAAATAACAATTAATAGGTAATTATCATAGCCTACAGTATATATATATATATATATATATATCATATATATATCATATATATATCACGGTTTCCACAAAAATAAAATATGAAATATAAAAAAAAAAAAGAAAAAAAAGAATGAAGCGGCACAACTGGTTTCAACATTGATAATAATCAGAAATGTTTCTTGAGCAGCAAATCAGCATCTGAGAATGATTTCTGAATGATCATGTGACACTGATCATAGTAATGATGCTGAAAATTCAGCTTTGAATCACTGGAATAAATTAAATTTTAAAATACATTCAAATAGAAAACATTTCTTTTAAATTACAATTAGAATTTCAAAAAATTCACTGTATTTTTGATCAAATAAATGCATCCTTGGTGAACATAAGAGACTTAATTCAAAAACCTTAAAATATCTTTCAATTAAAATAAAACTATGTATAGCACATGCTTGATATAAAGTAAGTCATGGCAAGACAAAAGGGTCATGGCCATTTGATTCCAAACATGTTTAAAATGTCATATCCACCACATAATGCTTTCAAACGATGACAATATTCATGACGTTCAGAAAAGATAGTCCATGTCTCTCCTGTGATGCATGTCCACACTTGGACATTATTGGAAGTCAAGTTCAAAAAACTTGCGCGAGTGTGAAAAAAGTACTTTCTAAAAGTCCACAGGGCCGAAAGTGCTGACAGTCGAAGAAACGCCCATATGATCCAAATTCAACAATAAAACAAGAGCGTCCTGAATGCGTTCCAGGACATGGCGCTCCTGACGGCGGGCTGACCCCTGAGAGCGATTGTCAGACACTTATTCAAGCTGAACACAGGAATGTGAAGGACTGTCCAAAACAAATGCAGGTCTGACCCAAATAGATTTTAAATCTGACAGTCAGGCCGCTTGACATTTCTCACGCCTTGCTAAGTGAATTCAGAGCTTGAAGTCTGAAGAACAACAATCCCAGAATGCAGCACTCATTGTCTTTGGCATTTCGCTGCGAATCTAGGACACATTTCCATAAGATATATACGTGCTTTGTTTTGCTTAGTCCAAAATAAAGCACAAAAGGGATTATGGACGGCTCTGATTGTCTTTATTTCATAAACACAACATAACTGCAGGATGCTCGGCAAGAGCTTCAGATTAACAGGCAAATTTCTTTCTTCCTGTCTCTCATTCTCAGATCTTTGGGGCCGATGACGTGGTTTGCACGCGGATTTACGTACGAGAATGAGGCGGCGATGGCGACCGTGACAAATGAAACCAAGCATTCCCGCACCCCAACAAACCAGAACCTTACATCGCATGTCAGGCAGTGAACATGTATCTGTGCAGTGCATTGTGGGATTTCATTTCTCAATCCATTACTTTAAAGGGACACTCCACCCATTTGCATTAAGATTTCCGTTGTTAGAAACCCAGTTATACTGTTGAATGGTCGTGCAACGCTCTCATTTTCCCCTGAGACGAGAGAGATCTGCTATTTGCCCTTTTCACTTCCTCCCACAATGATGCAAAAATCGTAATTTTTACGTCATTGTAGGAGGAAGTGTAATAGGGGGATTTCTATAAAGACTACAAGCACTATGGAGGATTGGGATTACACATAGTGTCGGCCATCTTTTTTTGGAAGCTAAGCTAGCAGGCTCTTGTTCTGTGGAGAAAACTTTATAGGGATTACCGTCCTCTTTTTCCTGGACATGTCCGGTCGTCGATGTCCGGGATTCAGCTTTTGCTTTCTGCAGTCGCCATTCATTGTTTACATGCACAGCTTTTGTTTTAATCTAACTGAATTCATTCGATTGGTGAATCTGAATGTAGTGTTTACATGAACGCTAAACAAGTGATGTGTGTTTTAACATTGCTAAGAAAATTCCCGCTCGTCTGTGAGAGATACGAGACCGGTGCGTCTCACAGGTGTCGCTCATCGGTAATCCCACCACCGGCCTCGCGTCGTTCTCCCGCGGCCCTCGCTCGTCCTGCTCGCCTCGGTAAACATGATGAATGCCGACTGTAGAGAATGCCGACATTTTGGGCGATCTCGAAACACATTTTTGGGCAGACTCATCACGGAGACTCACTAGTAGCCTAGACTTGTTGTTTAAAGACTGTGCTTCGTTACTGGTAGGCGTGGCCTAGGCAAGTGTATTCTGGGAGTTGTTGTCTTTTATCCACATAAGCCAAAAATACATTTTTTGGCTTTTCTCAGTCTAGAAAGCTCCAAATTCAAAAATAATTTCACATTTATTCTACATAAATGAATTATTTTATATACAAATTCATCTTTCCAGAGGTGAAGTATCCCTTTAATCGTCATTCTGTTTGTTCTGCTCTCTTTGTCCATTTCTCGCACAGATGTGTATTGCAAACAAAAACAGTAATAAAAATGGAACCAAACTCTTTCTGTGTCATATTTTTAGAGATCTGTCATAAAAAAACTTTCAAAATCAACAAAGAATCAACACTGTGATTTTTACCCCCATCTAGAGGTGAAAAGGTATATGACCATCCAGTGAATATTAGTTTCTGTTCCTCTCAAATCCGATTTCGTTTTAACTCCTACGGTGGCCAATGTAGTCCAAGATTAACATGGCTTCCAGTTCGACCTCGTCCATGAGTGTTAACTCAAACGTAAACGCGAAAGGCGAAGCTTGAATTAACGGGTATGTCCCTCTTTGGCTAATGTACTTTCAAGATGGAGGGGCAACATGGCGACCGACATTAGAACCCCTTACCCGTATGTATTTTCAATGGCATATTATACACTCACGAGAATACTTTATTACTTGAACGAAGTAAATATACATTAATGAGCACATATATTTTTGAAAGAACTAAGTGTTTTTAGCTAAGAATAAACTCAGAGTTACACAGTGTAGCTTTAAAGTAAAGCAAAACACTGTTTTGAAGAACCTATCAAGATCTCCAAAAAGCCTTAAGATCAACTCAAGAACCCTGTAGTGAAAACAGTCCTGAACGAGAAGAGAATTCTTTGCTGAAGCATTATTTTCCCAAGGCTTCCGCAGAGAGACGGTGGTTTAGCTCATTAGACACAGATTGTGTCCCGCGGTCAGACTCCGGCGGGTGGCAGACACAGATAAACAGCAGACGGTTCCACTCTTTAAGGGACGTGGTGCTGAACTGTGTGATCAGATTTAGCGGGTGTCATGTTCAGGGAAACCTATTATATGAATTTCCCAAAAGAGGACGGAAATCCAAATGCACAGACAAAGAGGTGGTTTTAAAACCCTAAATCCGGACAATGAGATGGTGCTAAACACCCCGTCTACACTGAGAGTGGGCGATGAAGCACGGAACAAAATTAGAATGCACACGTTATAATCAACAAAGCTGTGTACACTGCAAGCAGACGATTCAACACAACGTGAAGGATCCCATTATAGTTTAAGTTTAAAGCTGTGCGCTATAGAGGACTTTCGTAGACAGACAGAGACATATAGTCGGATAGACGACAGACAGACAGATGTCAGACAGACAGATAGAGACTGATAAAGAGACAGAGACAGACATGTAGTCAGATAAACGACAGACAGACAGACAGATAGACTGATAGACAAACAGATACAGACAGACATGTAGTCAGATAAACGACATATGGATAGATAGATAGATAGATAGATAGATAGATAGATAGATAGATAGATAGATAGATAGATAGATAGATAGATAGATAGATAGATAGATAGATAGATAGATAGATAGATAGATAGATAGATAGATAGATAGACAGACAAATAGATACAGACAGACAGATACAGACAGACATGTAGTCAGACAAACGACAGATAGACAGATAACACAAAAACAGATAGACAGACATCAGACAGACAAGACAGATAGATACACTGATAGACAGAGATAGACATGTAGTCAGATAAATGATAGACAGACAGACAGACAGATAGATAGATAGATAGATAGACAGACAGACAGAGATAAGACAAACAGACAGAGACTGATAGACAGAGACAGACATATAGTCAGATAGACGACAGAGACAGATAATATATAGACAGATGACAGACAGATAAAGATAGATAGACAGATAGACAAAAGACAGACAGATCGATGACATACAGATAGACAGGCAGATAGAGAGATAGTTAGACAGAGGCAGACATATAGTCTGATAGATGACAGAGACAGACAGATAGAGAGACAGAGGCAAGCATATAGTCAGACGACAGACAGAAAGATAGACGACACAGACGACAGATAGATAGATAGATAGATAGATAGATAGATAGATAGATAGATAGATAGATAGATAGATAGATAGATAGATAGATAGATAGATAGATAGATAGATAGATAGATAGATAGATATAATAGATATAATACTTTGTTATTATTACTGTCTTCAGTGTTACAAGCTTTGGCAATATTGTAATATGTACAGTCATGCCAATAAAGCAATTTGAATTGAAATTGAATAGATAGATAGATAGATAGATAGATAGATAGATAGATAGATAGATAGATAGATAGATAGATAGATAGATAGATAGATAGATAGATAGATAGATAGACCGATGAATTACAGACACAGACATATAGTCAGATTGACGACAGACAGACAGATAGATAGATAGATAGATAGATAGATAGATAGATAGATAGATAGATAGATAGATAGATAGATAGATAGATAGATAGATAGATAGATAGATAGATAGATAGATAGATAGATAGATAGATAGATAGATAGATAGATAGATGGATAGACAGACAGACAGACGGACGGACGGACGGACGGACGGACAGATAGATAGACGACATATGTAGACAACAGACAGACAGACAGACAGATAGATAGATAGATAGATAGATAGATAGATAGATAGATAGATAGATAGATAGATAGATAGACAGACAGACAACATATGTAGACAGACAGACAGACAGACACAGATAGACAGACAGAAGTTGAGAAGTTAAGTTAAACTTACTTAACAGAGACAGACAGATAGAGAGACAGAGGCAAGCATATAGTCAGATAGGTAGATAGACGACAGACAGAAAGATAGACGACACAGACGACAGATAGACAGATAGATAGATGACAGACAGACGGACGGACGGACGGATGGATGGATGGATGGATGTTGAGAAGTTAAGTTAAAACTTCTGACTTTACACCCGTTCCACATGATTTAGGATCAGGCTGTGTGTGAGGACGAGTGTGTGGGAGAGATGGAGCTGTTTTGGCCCGTGGCTGCAGTTAGATCAAAGCTGATGGATGAGGCAATCACTGCGATGAGAAACACAGGATGGAGACTCTCTTCATGTCTTCCTCTCCGCATCACAGGAATAATGTCTCGCTCATCACAAACTGGGACAACAATACCAAACCAGACTCAAAGAGCGTCTCAGGCTGGCAGAGAAATGCCCAGGGCTTGAAAAAGGGGTTGCTAGTCAACAAACATCTTTTTCATTTACTATATATTTTTTAATAGATCTAACAGCCTGTCGTGAGACTTTTATTCTGTCAACTCAACACACCTGCTCAGCCAATATAAAACCCTCAATGTTCAGCTCAATTCCAGCCTTTAATATAAACATCTCAGGAAGTCGTGACTCTGTTGTTGCAACTGTTCTCTGGCTTAGCTCGAAGTTGTGAATCACCCACAAACAAACCCCAAGACACGAACAACAAAACATCAGACGACGCGGAGCGATTAGTCTTCCTGCCACGGGGCTGCCAGAGCTCAAGCCGCTCTTTTCAACACACTTTCACGGAACCCAACAACACAAACCTCCCAAACCGGCAGTTTCTCCCCACACCGGCCTGATTTCTGACCCGCTACACCACGAAAGAATAGCTTGGCCCTACAATAAACGCAGTCAGAACGCCCCGGGCCAGCGCGCGAGTGTGCGCTGTAATGTTCATTGGTTCCGATGCTTCTCTCTGTGAAAGAGCTCATTGTTGGGAACGGTCAGCCGACAGGGGCTCTGAGAAACACTCATAGGAAACACTGAGTGCTCTATAAGCTCGTATAGGGGTTCCCTACAGCCCCCAGATCTTCCGAGGGGCCCACGGGGGCCCAAACGAGGCCAGTGCCGCTGTGAACAGAAACAATTAGAGCTCAGCTGTTGTTTGATGTGCATATAAGGGAGTAAATGGGAAGATTTTACGCGTCCATTCAGTGTTTGATGCTCCGGCTATGAAGAATTTTTTTTCTCTCCCAAATCCAGATTTGCATATCCATGATCCATCCCAAATTGCATAGGGGTTTACGGTACGGTTTACGGATGGTTAGCATGGCCCTGTTAGTCCATGACTCGATGTTGAAGGAAAATATGAATTACAGTTAAAGTAGTTAAAAAAATAATGAACACCCCAAACAATAGATTGCATGGCATCAATAAAAAAATCTGGGGTTTTTTGGCTTACGATTTTTTTGTTAATCCTTACGTATTTAATTGAATAATTGAACAATCCTTAATCAAGTTAAATTTTAGTAATACTTCAACAAACTTATTTCAGTTTAATTCCAAGCCAACATTTCAGATGTGTATTACATTTTAATTCAGCCTAAGTTTTATTTAAATGAACAAAATCGTTTCAATAGATTATATTTTTGAGTAGGCCTACCCAGAATATATATATATATATATATATATATATATATATAT